TTCCTTATGCCGTCCCCCTTTTTTTCCTTTTCTTTTCTAATTCCCTTATGCTGTCCCCCCTTTTTGTTGTTTGGTTTTTTGTTTGTGTGTTTTTGGGTTTTTTTGTTCTGTTTTTTTGTTTTGTTTTATGGCAAGGGATAAGAGGGAGGATAGATTAAGAAATTAGGATGCTAAAAGGGCAATAAATAAGTAAAATAAAAGAGGGAGGGTATTAAGGAAAAAAGTAGGGTAGAATAGGAGCGAGAATTTGGCTGGGGTTTGGACTGGTGGGGGTGGCGTCCCCCCCCCCGAGCTTGCGTTGAACCCTAGTACGGCACAGGGAAGTGGGGAGGGGGAGAAAAAGAGGTTATTTGTAGGGTGGAGGGATAGGGATAGGGAACTGCAAAATCTATTATGTGATTTTTTAAAATTTTTCTTTGTTTTGTGGGATGCACAATGGGACCTAAAAAAGATGGGATATAGAATGGACATGGGGAAAAATACAAGGACAGCTGTTCTAAATGTGAAAGGCCTAGGGTCTGTAACAAAGAGAAAAAGAACAGAAAAATTACTGAAGAAGAATAAGATGGATATTATTTACTTACAAGAGACTCATCAATCAAAGATGGAGTTATTGAACTGAAACTTCAAAATATACATATTTATGAAAAAGGATTTGGGGCTACCAAATCCAAAGGTATAGCAATATTGATCTCCAAACACTGAGAATTTGTGGTAAAAGAAGTAGTAAAATATAGCAATAGTAGGTATTTAATAATACAGGGATTAATGGGGGAAGATTACATGTTAGTAAATATTTATGCACTGAATGTAAACCAAGGAGAATTTTATAAAACTGTTGTTAGAGATGGAGAAGGTTAGAAAGGGATATGTTATTATGGCAGGAAATTTTAACCTGGTTTTAGATAAGGTAAAGGATAAAACTGTATACAGAAAAGATGAATTGAATAGTACCCTATTGAGTAAGATATTGAAAACCATGGATTTAAAAGATATATGGAGAGAATTGAAGGGAGATGAAAGAAGATTTCCTTATTATTTATCTGTACATAATAATTATTCTAGAATATATTTCATGTTTATATCTCAAAACCTAAATTTCTAAAGTAGTAGATACAGATATTAACATCTCAAAACCTAAATTTCTAAAGTAGGATACAGATATTAATGTGATAAAAATAAGAGATCATGCATTGATGACGATGGAGATGAAAGTTAAGAGAGATTATAGAGAGGCTAGAAGATGGACACTAATATTTTTCAATATATTAGTGCAATGGACAGGGCTAAAAAAGAATGGATAGAAATATGGTCAGGTGCAATGGACAGGGCTAAAAAAAAATGGATAGAAATATGGTCAATAAATGAAGCAGGTGGGAGTAAAATAGGAGTGTTATGGGATACCATGAAAGCAGTTGTGAGAGGAATTGCCATAAGGGAATCGTGCAGAATAAAAAAAAATTGAAAGAAGAAAATATTAAAAAAATAGAAGAATCATTAAAAGTTTTAGGAAGCAAATATTTTATAAATAGAGATAATAAGAAACTACTAGAGATTCAAGCTAAAAGGAAAGAGTTAGAAAGCACAGAGTTAGAAAAGGTTCAGAGGGATTTGATATACTTGAAGAGGAATTTTTTCAATATAATAATAAAAATTCAAAGCTTTTAGCCAGAGTATCTCAAACTAAAATATTAAAAAATACAATTGCAATGATTAGAAATAAAACAGGAAGGAATTGCAGCCTGATGAAAGAAAAATTAGTAGTATTACAAGAATTTTATCAAAATTTATATAAAGGAAATGATATAACAAAAGAAGATACAGAAAGTTATATTAAAGAAAATGTAAAGAGCAAACTATTAGAGAATGATAAAAGAAAATTAGAAAAATAGATAAAGGATGAAGAGATTACAGAGGTTATCAACAAACTAAAAAATGGTAAATTTCCAGGCTTTGCTGGAATGGGACCAGAATATTATAAATCTTTTAAATCAATACTGATTCCCAGGTTGAAAATACTCTATAATGAAATACTGGAAGGAGAGAAAATACCAGAATCTTGGAAATATTCACTAACAACTCTTATCCCGAAACCCAATAAAGATCTGACAGATCCAAGCTCGTATAGACCTATCTCGTTATTAAATCAAGATGCAATTTACAGCAATTTTAGCAAATAGAATGAATAAATTCATTACAAAATATATTAAAGAGGATCAGAATGGTTTTTTAAAAGGACAACAAATGGTGAATTTAACTAGAAGTGTTTTGAATATTGTATATAATACAGAAAAAGATAAGATAAAGGCAAGCATTTTATCATTAGATATTTTTAATGCATTTGATTGTGTAGAATGGCAAACATTAAAGATTCTTTTAAAGGTTTGGGGTTTGGGAAATAAATTTATGGGGGTAATAGATCAACTATATTTGGAGAACACTTCCGCAGTAATAGTTAATGATGGGATGACAGAACAGATAGCTCTAGGCCGAGGCACTAGAAAAGGTTGCCTTCTTTCCCCGGTTTTGTTTTGTTTGACTATTGAAATGTTAGCAAATGCAACAAGGAATGATGATTTAATTAGTGGTATGAGTGAATATAACAAAATAAAGATTAACTTATTTGCTGATGATTCCCTTTTGACAGTTAAAATCCATTAGAAAGTATGGATAGAATTAAAAATCATTTAGAAAAAAATGGAAAAATAACTAGATAACGTGTAAATTGGCAAAAATCAGAAATGTTTAATCATAATAAATAAAAACAAGAAAGGTTTGCTGATAAATATGATTTTAAGATATGTAAATCTGTTAAATACTTAGGTATAGAGTTAGTAAAGGATACTCAAAAAATAAAAGAGCATAATTAAAATAAATTAAAAGGGGATATTAAAACAAAACTACAGGAATATTCCAGTCTGAAACTTTCTTGGTGTGGAAGGATTGCATTGATGAAAATGAAGATTTTACCAAAGATTAATTTTTTATTTAGGATGTTACCAGTACAGTTAACAGAAGATTATTTTAAATTTTGGCAAGTAGTGATTAATAGATATTGTAATGAAGGGAAGAAAGCCAGAATAAATAAAAGGTATTAGTATAAGATAATAAAAAAGGAGGCATAGGTATACAAAATATTAAAAATTACTATATGGTTAATTGAAGTTTATTGGGGAAATTATATATAACTCAGAAAGGTTAATTTGGTGGAAATGCATCACCAGAAATACAGGTATATTGAAAAATATCTGTTTCAAATAATTAAAATATATAAAATAAGTGAAATCAATAACCCCTTTTTAAAAACTATGTTAAATGTCTGGTATAAGTATTTAAAAAACTATGTTCATTTAACTCTCCATTAATATTAGTGACTGAAATAGAGATTATTCCTGCCAATATGAAAGTCTATTTAGAATGATTTAAAGAAAAAAAGTGAGTAGATTAAAAGAATGGTTGAGAGAAAAAGATCACCAATGAGACCAAAAGATCAACTGAAATTTTTCAAAATAAGAATATATCATGGTTGAATTATATGCAATTACAAAGATGAACTATGAAATGGGTAAAGAAGTATAACAAAGGTAAAAAATGAATAATTTCTATTATCATATGAAGATATTCAGATGAATGAATCAATGAAGGGTGTAGTAAGTAACATTTATAGACTTACTTACTTTATTGAACTAATACCCTGCCCCTCCAGACAAAGTCTACTCAGGGCGGCTTACATGAGTAATAAAATACAATAATACAATAAAATACAATAAAATAACATACATAATAATAAAGACCTACTAACTGATGCATATATACGTTATCAAGATGGGATAGTTAAAAAAAATAAAGAAATAGAAAAATAAAGAAATAGTTAATTGACTGGAGGGAAGGCCTGCCTAAAGAGCCAAGTTTTTAAATGGCTTTTAAAAACACCCAGCGAGGGATCCAGATGGATTTCCGTTGGGAGAGTATTCCACAGCCGAGGGGACACTGCTGAGAAGGCCCCTTTTTAGAAGAAGAAGAGATCAAGAATGAAGGACTGAAGCTAGTGTGGGAACAAGATTTAGGAAACAAATGGTGAAGAATGAATGAAGATATGGAAAATGAGGGTTTTACAATTTATGTTGGTGAGGATAAAATAATTTTTTTACAAAACTAAGTTTAAGATGGCATTTGACACGATAAAATTGAATAAAATTAACTCTTATTTGAATATCTGTTGGAAATGTGAGTAGGAAATTGTTACATACTTTCATATGTGGTGGGAAGATGAAAAAGTACAAAGTTTTGAAAATTAAACTTTAAAGAATTAACTGATAAATGTGAAAGGGATATAGAATTTAATCTTGAGATAGCTTTGTTATCAATATTTGTGAATGTGGAATATGAGTTGATGACTAGAGAGCTGATTTTCAATAAAATAAATAAATAAATAAATTTATTAACAGCAGCCAGATTAAAAATAGCCAGGAACTGGAAATCAAAACTTGAATTTCAAATAAAAGGATGGTATAATGAAATATGGAATATTGTTATAAATGATCAATTAACTTGTAATTTAAAGGTCAAGAAAGGAGATTTTTTTTATTATATATAGGACAGATTTATTGAATATGTTCTAACAAAAGGAAAAGAGGAAGTTCCAAATCAGGAATCAATGCAATTCTGGAGAACAGGACAATAAAGGAAGAAGAATGGAGGCAATGAAGAAGAAGAGTACTGCAAGAGGTCCGGACTAGGGTGGTAGGGAACACAATTGATTTTTATTTTGGTTTTTGTATTTTATGTTGTACTTTATAATAATAATAAAAAGAACAGCTTTTCGTTCTGATGTATACATTTACTGATACATTCATGTATATCTGTAATTGTATTTTTATACAACTACAGAGATAAGTGAACATACTACACTACAAACCAGGATTTTCTAGTTGCATTAATGGGGGAAACACAATCAATACATAAAAGTATACTTTCAATCAAAACTCTATCAAGCTTACCTTGTGTAGCATAAAAGAACTTAGTTCATGTTGAGGAATCCGATTTACCAACTCCGCACCTTCAAGTAGAGCCAAAGGTGACTTTGTGTAGCACTGCGAGCTCACTAGTGAAATATACCACTCCTTCCAAGAAAATAATTGAAGTTCAATCACACAATTATAAGCAAAGTAAAAATACATGATGTTTCTTGCTCACATTTCTATAAAGTTTTCTGAATCTGAAAGCTTATTGTACAGAGCTTCAGGAATTTGCTTTTTTGACCACAATTCCCAGAATCCTCCAGATAGAACGGCTAGTGGATGTTACTAGCCAAAATGTTCCAGCAAATGCAGAAGTACTGGAAACACAGGATATTACAATACATATTTATTGGAATGACATACACAAGCTTCCTCCCTTCAGCAATTCCATAAATGGCTGTTGCAAAGGTGCACAGTACACAAAAGACTCATCAGTGTACATGCGAGTCTACAGGTAGGTTGTTCTATACTATTCAGAAGGGGACAAATCCAAACACTTTCTCACCTTCATAAGGCATTTAGATTCCTTCAGGCTTACTGCAATCACTGTAAGGATTGAGCAGAATATTTGAATGACAGACCTGAGGACAGGAGGCAGTGTGGTCAGTTCTATGCCCCCTTCAAATATATAACCTGTCCTTCAGGATTTTCTCCATTCCCATTATAATGAGAACTATTAATTCTGTTGTGCTGATCTGACCAATAATCCCTGAAGAGAATGGAAGTACCTTAGTATGGTGTTTCAGCTTTGATAATTCTACCTCTGCTAAGAGTTGATAAGAGTCAACGCAACAAAATCTAACCTTCTGACAGCATTGAGCTCAGCTTCTCTGACACAGTCAATCCACCACCACACTGAAGTGTTAATGGGGGGGGCTGTACATCTACCTAAGGAATTTCAGGGTGGAATGTTCACTAGAGAAAGGGAAGGAAAGCGAAGCGAAAGACTGCTTCTATCAGGCACCATTGACTTTTCTGTCACTCTGTGTCATCTGGTGTCTTTTCTCTTTGTTCCTGTTATAGGGAAGGATGTTTTTACATACCCTTGCTATATTGACATTTCAGTACTGCCTTCTTCACTGCAGGCCCTCCTGGGATGGCCCAGTTTATATTCTCTATTATTTAAGAAGTGCTCCTTTCTTGAAAACCAATGCAGCAGTGGATCCATTTCTGTTTTCCATTTATTGTGGAATGAACATTTTACTGTCTTTTCTGGTTGTTGAAGTCACATGTGCACTCAACCAATTAAAAGGCTATCAAAGCATCATAGCATTGCATAGCACCTTGTTTGCAGTATCAATACTACTGAAGGGGTCATGTAGCTGGTGAACTAGTGCTTGCTTAGTCCTGCCACCATAACATGGGAAATAACAAGCTTGTTATACAAAGCCTCAACCTGAAACATCACAATTACGATACATGATTTTTCCCACCTACTAAAATTTAGAAAATCAACATTCTGCTTCTAAATTTAGCAGACATAGAGTGCTATTCATACATCTAAAATGCACTGATAATTATGGAAGATCAACACCTGTTGTGCACACAGCAACAAGAGGTGTTTTGTGCAAAAAATTTTTTAATGTGGTCTTACTTTGTCTGGAATTACAGCTTCTAGAGCAAGCTGGTTCTCTCCATCCAATGGGTGTGTAGTAACTGAAGGAGATGGGCTAACTGTTTCTGGAGCAACAGTAAGGCGAAACCTATCCAAGAGCGAGTAGAGTCTTTGGTGTCTGAAAGCAGCATGAACAAGAAGAGAGAAAGAATATTTACAGTCTAGTAGAAACAAAAGTCCCTTCACGGACTGCTGCCTTGTCGTGGTGAAGGGGCTTGAGTAATTCAGAGAGGCTATGGGCTAGGCCGTGCAGGGACATCCAAGATGGACAGATCATAGTGGAGAGTTCTGACTAAACGCGATCCACCTGGAGCAGGAACTGGCAAGCTACTCCAGTATCAGTACCAAGAAGACTCCATGGACAGAAAGAGAGGTTACTTACCTATTATCATGGTTCTTCGAGTGGTCCTCTGTGAATTCACACAATAGGGTTCAGTCTGAGCTTGTGCTGGATTCCTCGGAATATTCTAGAGCTTAAAAAAGTAACACTGATTAAACATTGCCCCTATAGTGCATGCTCGGCCCGCCTCAACCCTCAGTTCCAATTTATTTGCCACTAGCAGAGCTCCGAATTTCAGAGAGCTGAAAAACCAGTGACGGATAGTGGGGAGGCTGGGCGGGATGTGTGAATTCACAGAGGACCACTCGAAGACCCATGATTACAGGTAAGTAACCTTTATTTTTCATTGCCTCTGTGAATGCACACAATAGGAGAGCCGTCACAACAGCAACAAAGTCAACAAAGCTCTCCCGAAGCTGGCTTCCTTCTTGGCCCTAAGGTCCAGTCTATAGTGTGTTATAAAAGTAGACGCGGTGGACCATGTAGCCGTTCTACAGATGTCTGGAATATCCACACCATGGAGCAGGGCAGTAGACATCACCACGGCTCTAGCAGAGTGAGCCTTCAGGCCCTGTGGAAGAGCCTTGCCAGTCAGTTCATAAGCTAATGCAATGGTGGAGACTATCTTCTGAGAGATTGTTTGAGAGGAAGCAGGTGTGCCCTTGTGTGGGCCAGGAAAACAAACGAACAATTTGCAGGAGGTGCGAAAGTCTTTGGTCCTTGATGTATAATAGGCCAACACCCATCTGACATCCAAACAATGGAGCATCCGCTCAGCTTGTAAGGAAGGGTTTGGAAATAATGTTGGTAGAATCAGGGGCTGATTGATATGAAAACTGGAGACAACTTTTGGGAGGAAGGAAACATCGGGATAGAGGATCACTTTATCCAAGAAAAACTGTAAATAAGGTGGGCCGACTTGAAGAGCAGCTAGTTCACCTGCCCTCCTTGCTGAAATAATTACTACCAAAAATAACGTTTTGAACGACAACAGGAGGATATCGGAAGAGGCCATGGGCTCCAACGGTTGACGTGTCAAGGCGTATAGGACAAGATGCAACGACCATTGCGGTAACAGTGGTCTAACAGGTGAATGAATGCTATGGAGACCCTTAAAAAACATTGTTAACGTAGGATGGGAGAACAGGCGTGATGATTCAGAATCACTGGGTTGATAAGAAATAATAGCAGATATGTACACTTTTAAAGTAGAAATCGCTAGTCGCATGTCAAACAAGTGCTGTAGGTAAAGGAGAAGAGTGTCAAGGGAGACTGGTAATTGTTGCAATCCCTTAGGCTGAGTGAATCTTAAGAAATTATAAGAATATAGCAGTTTAGTTGATGGCTTCCTAGCTCTCTGCAGAACCCTGTGGACAATACCCATCTCCTGCATCTCAAGGTTGGTACGGAATAGAATGTTTGCACTTTTCCATACTTTTCCTAGGAGTGTCGTGGACAGACTCCTGTTCAGAAAGTGACTCGGTATCAGCCCGCCCTGGGTATCGAGGGCTAGAAGGGGCAACGGCCCAGCTGGCGTCTGGCACAGCCTCGAATCGGCCCGAGTTTGGAGACATGCACATGGTATCCTGAGCCGTGTGAGCTAAAGGAATGTACTCCTCAGTATCAGAAAGTCCAATTCCTTCCCTCGAAGACTCCTCAAGCAGTATCGAAGGAGCTGGAGGAGGCACAGTAGGCAGTTTAACTGATTTCTTCAGCTTTTTGGGCTTATCGTTTTTTCCTTTTTGCAGGAAGGGCAATTCGAGAAGATGCCTTGGCTTTAGGCGGTTTTGAGGATTCCTTAGGCTTCACAGGAAGAGAAATGGTAAGAGTCAACTGCTCAACGGGAGAAGTCTGTTTAGAGGCCTCCAAACGTGGAGGGGTTGGTGCAGGGAGGGAGGAGCCTTCCATGGCGGGAAGAAGAGTCTTCTCCTAGAGAAAAGATTGAAGCCGTTGGCGTCTGAGTTTAATGGCTTGCTTGGAAAAGCCTTTGCAAGCAATGCAGGTCTGGTTGAGGTGTGATTCTCCCAGACAAAACAAGCATTTGTCGTGGCCGTCTGAGAGAGAAATTTTGCGGAAACAGATGGTGCACTGCTCGAAGCCCCGAGGGGCCATAAAACAAAAAAGAGAATCCGTCGAAAAGCGGGGAGCGGGATAGAACAACAGCAAGCTAAAAATGAAAGGCAAGTTCTGTTGAAGGGTCAACAATAAAATAACAACAGGGAAAAAGGAGAAGAACAAAAAGAATAGCTAGGCTAGAATACTTAAGTATAGATGCTCTGCTCTTCCTAACATCCTAATGGTACGGCAGAAAAAGAGGAACCGAAAGGAAGAGGGAGCAGGCGGAGCCTATATACCCTTCGGGGGGGAACTAATTGACTCTTTTTTCTATAGCTCTAGAACATAGGTTGGAAAACAGGGGTAAATTACCCCAAATTGGGTAAAAGTGAAAATCCTGGGGGTAATGAGCAGAGTGCTACCCCCTCCCTCCCATCCACCCCCACCCTCTGCAGCCAAACCTCAAATTGTAAGCCACCTCTCCCTGTTACTTCCTTCATTGCAGCAGGGCACTCCTAAATCATCTGTTCTTTCAGGAGATCAGGAGAGAAGCTCCTTGATTGGTTGCAGCTGTGGATTAGCCCCAGGCAATCAATCAATCCGGGGCTTCTGAATGACTGCTTCCTCCAGAAATGACTGCAAACAAGCAGGAGGAGCAAGAGGATAAAAGAGCAAGCAAGGGAAAGGAGGGAAGAAAGGTGCGAGAGACCGAGGACTTCATCAAACTTATTTAAATGTACAAAATGGAGGGAGGGCGGAAATGCAGGGAGGGTGGGTGGATGGATGGGTGTGTGTGTGTGTGTGTGTGAGGGAGAGACAGAGAGAGTGAGTGAGAGAGGCTGACTCAAAATTATGAAAAAGAAAAGGCAAGACAAAGAGAAACCTTGAACTAAGGCGGGGGGAAGGGTGGCTTTTTAAGGTGCTGTCTAGGTTTGTCATCACTTTCCTCCCAAGAAGCAGGCATCTTTGAATTTTGTGGCTGCTGTCACCATCTGCAGTGATCATGGATCCCAGGAAAATAAAATATGTCACTACCTCGATGTCTTCCCCTTCTGTTTGCCAGGAGGTGATGGAACCAGTGGCCAGGATCTTAAGTGTTGTTTTTTTTTTGATGTTGAGCTTCAGACCATTTTTT